TACAGCTAAACTTCAAAGTACACACACCATTATACAGCTAAACTTCAAAGCTTCACGAAATTGCATGCCGAAATATGTTTAGCGTAACTTTTCGCACAAGGTCAGAAAGTGAAATGGCAAAAGAAAAAAACTCACGTGTGAGACAACATTATTAAGAAATTAAAACTATTGAAAGCAGATTAGAATTTTTACGCAATACAAGAGTCAAGTTAATTCAATGAATAACTATTTTCATTTCCCGCCCCAGTGGTTCAGCGGTAAGAGCTTATAACGCTAGAATTTTGGGTTCGACACAGCGAGATAACCCATTGTGTAGATTTGTACTAACACAAACTTAGGTTTAGTACATTAGTTACTTACAGTATGGCATTGATTACATAGTTATTAAGACTAATAAGTTTTGTAGTTTTCACAGCTGTTATTTTTTTTTAAACTCAAAAGAATACATAAGCATGCATTGTAAAATATATGTACCTATATACATATATATGTCAGCACATAAGAAAGTAAACTGCACGACAAATACGTTTAAGAAAGTTTATCGTTTTCAACAAATTTATCAATAAATGACACGATGACTGACTACCTTGATTATTCAATGTAGAAATAGCGTGAAATTCTGGGTTATTTCCTCCTTCTCCTGCTCCTCTGTTGTCTTCCGCAGCCACCACATGTTCGTGTCTCTCTGAATTATAATTAAGTAGAGCATGTGTTACAGTTGACAGTGATGAATGATGGGCGAAGGATTTCGAGGCACTACAGTTATCAGGGAATAAAGATTCTTTGATCTGATTGTCAGCATCGAATGTTTGATAGTCCTCAGAGTCCCTTAACACTTGCGTGCAGTGGGCATACTTTGACGTTTGCGAATAACCCGACTTGAACGAGTATTGTAATTTATTTTCTGTCGATTTGGAATTTGACAGCACCGTTTCTTCTTGTACTTTGGTTCCTTCTGGGACCACAGAAGCCAAATGAGCATACACTTTGATCATGTCGTCACTGTAGAGCACGCAGTCAGAATCTCTGTCAAGACGCACGTTCTTGCAGCTCGGGTTTTTCACTTTGGAGACAAGTCGATGAGATGAAGTTAAGTCCAAAGACTCGTCTTGATCAAGATAAAGGTAGGGATCCAAAGAAGGAATGTCCACGGTGCGTAAATTTGTTTGACTTGGCAGAGTTGTACAGCTTTTGCTTTTAAATAAAAAGGCTTTGGAAGGCTGCTGCCTTTCGCTGAGGTTTGTACATGATGGCATATTGGAGATGTGACTAGATTCCGAAAGCTTGGTTTGTGCTGCTGTTTGAAGGTTCGTGAAATTTTTTGTCGTTTTCGACCAGCAAGAATGCTTTGGTTGAATGTCCTTTGTTGTTTGGTATACTGTTGATGTTGCTCCTGCATAAATATCACTATTAGATCGACTGATGTACTTTTCTGTGTCATTTTTCTCTCTGTTCGTGTTACTGTTGTAGAGGTGGGATACAGAACTAAGATCTAAAGGGACACTGAGTTGTTGCCCGAGAAGATACCTGGTTTTGTAAGCAGGATGTTTTGTGGTATCTACACCATGACTCCATGATGTCCTGAACGTTTTGGATGGCAAGGTCTGACTGCCAAACTTCATCCCTGATACACTTGAGCCACTAGTTTCTTGAGTAAGGTTGAACGTGTAATCCTGAATCCTTCCGGACCTGATAGATCTACTGGTCTCGGACAAATTTGAATGGACACCATCTGGCGTTCCGCTGGAAGAATAAGGGCAACTTCTAGATCCAGACTTTACAGCTGCAGTTTTCTGAGCGTATAGGGAAGCGAAGAGTTTTCGGCATGATCGGCGAATATTGTGTTCAGTAAGCTGGAGATCTTCATCAAATCGGACCCGGGGAGAAGATAAATCTTTGAACGATGAAGAGTGTACAGCTAAAGGTATGGACCTGGAAAGAAAAAAAAAGTTTGTTTCTTATTCCCAAGAGATTATTTGAATAAAAAACAAAATTTTAATCGAACTTAGAAAGACTATACTCGTATATTCACTATTGTATTTCAATTCAAAAGTAACACTACTTTCTGCAGAAGGTCATAAACCCATGATGGGCCTGGGATGGCCAGGCGATTAGGGTGCTCGACTTGCAATCTGCGGGAAGCGGGTTCGAATCCCAGTCATCGAAATGCTCGCTCTTTCATTCGTAAGGGCGTTATAATTGACAGCCAATTCCACTATTCGTTGTTTAAGAGTAGCCTAAGAGTTGGCGGTGAGTGATGTTAACTAGTTGTCTTTTCCCTAGTCTATAACTACTAAATTAGGGACGTCTAGCATAGATAGCCCTCGATAATAGCTTTGCGCAAAATAAAAAACAAAAAAAAAACATAACCTCATGAACCTTCACTAGATGTCGCATCAGGAAATAAACTGTAGAATTAGAACTTAATGTATGAACGTGACGAGTACAGGCGTTAAGAGCGTCCATATGTAAAAAAAACAAACATGTTCCGTGAATCAAACATCGTGACAAAGAACAACGAGAAGTAAACTTTTTACGAACATTAATAAAGCTCTCCGCTAAGTAGTCTCGTGCCGGGCTCGAACCACTTACTTTTGACACGCCAAAGAACCGCACTGTCATCCACTGCAATTCAAACTACCTGCTTACCACATATTAAAGTACTTACCTATCCTTCATTACTAAAACGATCTAGCTTTTACACTACCAATCACTATGTGTACAGGAAGTCCCTATTAATTAAAGTATATTTAATTAGTGCAATACCTATTTATAGAAGGTCCGCTTTCTAACAGGATGTTACGGCCATCTTTCATTGGCCCGTTACAAGAGTGTAGATTCGAAACCGAAGAGGATTTTAGCGTTGGTTTCAGTGAATATTTATTTGGTAATTCCAGAGAATTGTTGCCAGAAGTATCCCTGAAACGAAAAGAAGATTTAACGAAACTAATTTTTTAAATACTGAAAAAACAAAATAAAATACATATAGAAAATCAGCTATTGCACAGAAAACACCTCTCAATGTTTGCTTTTTTAATGTTTACATAAACAGTAAATTTATATTCATTTGTATTTTAAGAATAAGCAGACATGTAACATAAGAAAGATAAATATTGATTTCAGACAAAACTGTCTCGATTATGATATTATATAATATTATAATAATAATGATTTTTATACATATATACATATGTGTGTATGTGTTAATGTATATTTATCTATTGATACACATTTGTAGAGCACTTCATTTGTACACACAAAATTGACTAGTCACGTATCTACCAATGGCTCAGCCGTAAGTCTGAAGGCTTGTAACGCTAAAAACCTGGTTTCGATACAAGTGGGAGACACATCACAGATAGCCCATTATGAAACTTTGTGCTTAACTAAAAACAAGACTAATTATTTGAGATGTTAGGTGATTGTTTAAAGCGTATAAATGCACAGATGTGCTAGTATCATATCTCTGAGACAAAGAGTAAGAGCAAGAAGTTATTAGACATTCAAAGGGGCATGTTAGTAGATCTGTCCAAGTTGTACACCATATAAAAAGTTCATGTAGGCTGCACACATTGAAACACACGATTAAGTTTCAAACCCGAATTAAAATATATTAGCTTAAAGAGTTATAACGTTTGTTCGTTGTTATGGCTATACCACATTTATATTTATAGTGAGTGTCTCAAAGTGTGTGGCGACAAAGAAACAACATTCCTTGTGTATGAAATATACCTAATTATCAGTTTGGTGAATTCTGTTTCTAACACATACTCTCTCGCTGTTTTCTGATGTATTCCAGGCCGTTAGAAACACTTCGAATTGGATATAGTTTCTACTTAACTCTTAACAACAACATTTTACACGTCAAGCCTACAGCACTTCTGATCAATAAGAGAAACACTTTGAGACTCCCATAATAACAGGAATAGCAAACTACTGGTTTGTTAGTAGTTCGGTAAACTAAGTTATTTTGTTTTCTTCTTTTTTTATTTTCTGGATGTACATATGCTCAAATTATGAGACGACAAAAACTGAGATAATGTGTGTGTGTGTGTGTGTGAGGGGTGGAGGGGAGAGGGTTATTACCTTGGTTTTCTCCGGATGTTGTCTTGGCTACAGTCCGTTTCGTTAGAACACACGGACCCGATTCTCCTGCTAATAGCCACAATTCCGGAATCGCCATCACTATCTTGTAGGTGAACTCCTGTAATGATTTCAAAATATTAAATCCGCCATACAGGCAAGAACGAATAGCTTTGAATTGTTCTATCTAAAATATTAACAAAAAACGTTACTTAGCATAAAAAGAACAATCCACAGTAAAATTTTACAGTAAAAATATATCACAAAGTTGAAATAGTATTCAACTGAATGTAAATGACGGCTTTACGTATGATGATAGTTTATTAATCTTCTTGTTCACTTTAAACGTTAATCACAAATCGTGTGTGGATTAACTTGTGGATCAACAACAATTGTTAAGGTGTGAACGCCTATTTCAAGCTGGCGAAACATGATTATAATTCATTTACTTGTCATCAGACATAAGTGTTAATCCTATTACATCTTTAATACTGTATTCTATATATTGACTCATGGAGAACTTCAAGAATTAAAAGATTGTATAATAATAGTATTCCAATCACACTAAGTTCGTTGTATCCATTGCCTACGACGCATTTCGCTCAATCCAGAACTCATCACTAGAATGCAGTGTTAAAAAATATAACAGGCCTAATACTAATGTACGATAACGAGTAGATTAATTATAATCATGCTTTGTCAGCTTGAAAAATTGGTTCACGCTATAACAAGTGTTCCAACTACTATATTTGTTGTGTTCCAACCGGTCTGATGAGCTCTGGATTTATCGAAACGTGTCGTCAGCAATGGATAAAGCGAACACAGTGTGGTTGGAATATTATTATTATTATTATACACCCTTCTAATTCTTGAAAATCCCTAACGGATTAGATATAGGATTCAGTGTTAAAAAATGTAATAGGACTGATACTAATACACTAACAGAGACCCACAAAACGTATTCTGTCAAATTAGTATCTTTATTGCAACAGTATTTCTTTAAATACAAGATTTGTAGAATAATACAAACGAAATGTAATCATAGACACCGAAATGTGCAAGTCCATTTTTATTTAGGTCGTACTTTATAAAACCTTAACTAATGTTAGACCTCAGTTCGATAAAGAGATAAATTAATACTGTACTTAATAATATATATGAATAAACTTATAATGTTATTCTAAGACCTAACATCAGATTTTCTTTTTTAAACTTTAAGTTTTTAATGTTATTGTACTAAATGGTTAATAAGAAATATTTATATCCACCTTTGTTGTTGTTGTTGTTATTCCTTCAACCATAGAGCAGTTGTAGTGACTTGTTCGTTGAGCTTTCCAGCTCTTTGGCGCAGGCAGACGCTTGCACTGTTTTCCTGGATAAAATTTTTACTGCTGCATACTTATAAGGCGTTCCGACAGCAGAATTATAGTATGGCAAGATTTTGGTGTCTGCGATTAGAATAATTTGGTATTATTCTAAGTACAGACACCGAAATCTGTATTTTTCTAGAAATCCTGTATTTAAAGAAGTACTGTTGGAATAAAAACACTAATGTAAGCGCAAATGTCTTGCGAGTCTCTGCTAGTCTATTATAATAATACTCAGTTTTTGTCTGTCATATTAATGCGCGCGCACGTAATTTCCGTAACAGGCACACGATCAAGCGTATTACTGGAGATAGATGATGACGAGTAAATTAGTTTATGGTTTGTTTGTTTCAAGTTAAGCACGATGCTATACAATGGGCTATCTGTGCTCTGCCCCCCACAAGTATCGAAACCCGGTTTCTAGCGTTGTAAGTCCGCAAACATACCGCTGTGCCACTGTGGGGGAAATTAGTTTATGGATAATCTGAGGGACTTTTGTAGCACTAAAAATCGATACTCGCTGTAGGAAGAGCACCTATAGCAAATTGTGAAACTTTCGCTAAACAACAAACAAACAAAGTCATTTAATTTTAAATGTCATAAACGTACATACTGAATAGCAGTTTAATGCGTGATTAACATCAACAAAACTTAATTATCTAAATAAAAAGCTTTAAATTAAAAAAAATATCCGATATAAAAAAATTATTGAAAAG